TGCGCAATGGACATGCGCAAGGTATATGCGCAATGGACATGCGCAAGGTATATGCGCAGGAGACCACGTTGTTATTCCTATGGCGTCCTCACGAGTCTTGCGCGTCTATCGTTCAACATAGAATGAGAAAAGATTCATTTGATCTAATGTATATTGGTACAATATATTAGAATATGCTTTAGAGGTTAAAATTGTATAAACATTGTATGATGTTATTTTCAGTTAAAGTAAAAGTCTATATATTTGTTATGTTTTTTTTTTTTGTTGGGCTAATAAGTATTCAAATTTGCTTAGAACAATTAGCTCTTGCTATAAAAAAAAAAGATGCTATTTTACAATGGTAATTGAGATTATCAAAAATGGTTAATTAAAACTCATTATTATTATTGAGATATAAATAGATATATATCGAAAGAATTTGTTTATCGCTCAACTTTTTGAGCAGTTCTTATCGCACTCGAGGAGGACGTGGTTACACAGGGTGCAGTCTATTCTTAGTTTCATCATTTTCAAACCTTAAACTATGTGTACGATAGTATTGTATATTATTTAAAGAACAAAGGCAGTTCACTAAATGTTGAACGTAAAGTCGTAATTGAATTCTTGACAAGTTTCGCAGTAGAATAGTCCATACTGGGTCAGACAATTCATGGCTTGACCATTGGAATTCGTGTTGATGAATTTTCATGAGTTGTCATAATTTTCTTGAATTTTCATTCATTCTCATAATTTACTTGAATTTTTATTAATTTTCATGACTTTTCATTAATTTTTGTGATGTTTATGAGTTTTCATAATGTTCTTGAATGTGTTTGAATTTTCATGAATTTTTATAATTTTCTTAAATTTTCATGAGTTGTCACAATTTTCTTGTATTTTCACGAGTTTTCATAAATTTTCATTAATTTTCATAATTTTCTTGAATTTTCATGAGCTTTCATAAATTTTCTTGTATTTTCATAAATTTTCATTAATTTTCATAATTTTCTTGAATTTTCATTCATTCTCATAATTTACTTGAATTTTTATTAATTTTCATGATTTTTCATGAATTTTCGTGATCTTTATGAGTTTTCATAATGTTCTTGAATTCGCTTGAATTTTCATGAGTTGTCATAATTTTTTAGAATTTTCATGTGTTGTCATAATTTTCTTGAATTTTCATGATCTTCATGAGTTTCATAATGTTCTTGAATGTGTTTGAATTTTCATGAATTTTCATGAATTTTCATAATGTTCTTGAATGTGTTTGAATTTTCATGAATTTTCATGAGTTGTCACAATTTTCTTGAATTTTCACGACTTTTCATAAATTTTCTTGTATTTTCACGAGTTTTCATAAAATTTTTTGTATTTTCATAAATTTTCATTAATTTTCTTGAATTTTTATTAATTTTCACGACTTTTCATGAATTTTCGTGATCTTTATGAGTTTTCATAATGTTCTTGAAATCGCTTGAATTTTCATGAGTTGTCATAATTTTTCTGAATTTTTATTAGTTGTCATAATTTTCTTGAATCTTCATGAGTTTTAATAATTTTTTAGAATTTTCATAAATTTTCATAAATTTTCATGATCTTCATGAGTTTCATAATGTTCTTGAATGTGTTTGAATTTTCATGAATTTTCATTCATTTTCATTCATTTTCATAATGTTCTTGAATGTGTTTGAATTTTAATGAATTTTCATAATTTTCTTAAATTTTCATAAATTTTCATGAGTTGTCACAATTTTCATGAATTTTCACGCCTTATCATAAATTTTCTTGTATTTTCACGAGTTTTCATAAATTTCCTACGGCAATTCATGATCGTTCCATGACTTTCCATAACTTTCCACGAATTTTCATGAAAATTGCATCGCATAATATCTTCAAAAGTCCATTCTATTCAAACTACATCACATAAATTGTTCCTCAACTAAATAAACTCCTAAACTAGGATACCATACAATGAAACAAACCTCGCATAATTTCACTAAGATAAACTGCACCCTAATTTTCCGCCATTTTCTTAATTTTCCCTTCTTTTCACTTTCGTTTCGCTTTAAGTTTTCTTCAGTTACGCTTCTATGCACGAGTCCCGACCTACGTGCAACTTTTTTCGCGAAAGCAGAAACAAACGACCGATCAGTTCCTTCGTAATAAAAAAAAAAAACTTGCACTCGGGGCTCCTAGCATTTTGCTTTCTGTCGATTTTCCATTAATTTCTTTACGTCCTTTAGAATCGAGCTTGGTTTCCTTCTCGATCATCGAACCGATCAATGATCATCGGGATACTCCAACCCTTTGCAGTCTTATGTCTTGTCATCCTCGACAAAAACGAGCTGAAATCAAAAAATTCGTTATAAAAACTACAAAGGGTTAAAATATTGCTTGAACTCTGAAAATATTTTTTCGGAGCGTCCCTTTGGACTCTGAAAGGCTCGCGGAATGATCTAGGGGAACCGAACGATGATTCCACTTGCACTTTTTATTTCCCCAAATTTTTTGGTTCTTTTTTTTATCCCAGACGAGCTTTTGGTGGCGGTCGTCTTTCGCTTACAGTTCGTTGAACAGAACGTTGAACAACACATTGTATTATATATATATATATATATTTTTTTAATTTTTTCCCTCGAAAACCCGAGGCGAGTGCTATCGACGAGAGGGAGACACACACCGATCGTGTATTTTTGTATTTTTGCCTCACTGATATGCGTTTTTTGAGTGGCACACAGAGGTCGAGCGTGAACAGCACCACACCTGATTGATTTTAAACGACTAACGTCGATTTCGCAGCCTGGGACACCTGGAAAGGCTTCGTTAACGTTTCTCGTACTCCTAGGAACAATTGAACAGGATATTCGAATAATAAACGAGGGATAAACAAATTTCTCATCGTTAATTAGAAAAATTAGAATTTGGCGGCGTTAATGATTTATTTAAGTTCGAGTAGTCGAGGCAACTATTAATAAATATTTGTTCAAGAGTGCACGTAAATGTACATTTGTTATTTCAATGGCATCTTGAATATTTATACTATTAAGCACTTGGATATCTTATCAGAGATTGCAGATGATCACTAAAAAATTAATTCACGGAGTATTTTTTATTTACTAATTACAGTTTGCATTTTGGAAGATATAAAATCTCCGCATCCATGAATAATAAAGTTTGCAAAAATGATTTGAAAATTACCACTAGTTTCGAGAACTCTTAAATTGGCCATAACTTTGAGTCCTTAAAATCCTTGGAAATTTTCGAATTTTACTTTCGCTCGTATGTTGCCAAAGACAGTGATTAAAACAAAACAGGAGTGTCTACTGCCTCTACAAATAATAAAAGCAAAAGAGGACTGTTTAATATCGACTTGGGTTTCGTTGTAAAATTTCAAAATTTTACTCCCACTCCAATTTTTGAAACCACAGACACAGTGATTAATAAATTTAAAAGATAAATTGAAAAGAAAAGAATATTTTTGGACAAGGAACTCCAAGTTTGCGCAGTTACATTTTTTATGGCATGATCCTTAATTGGCCATCAAGGAGTCAGTTTGTCAAAATTGAAAATTCCAGGTGACCCATCCTGGCCCACTTGTGTTTATATATCTTGCTGTCTGTATAGATATACGTACCTTTATAAATACACCAGGTGTTAATCACACGCAGGAAAGAGCACACACGTACGTTTTTTTTTTTCTCGATGTGGTGTGGCTACATGCTGAGGTTTTTTGGTTTTGTCACAGCAAAAAAAAATCTCCCTCTCGAGAAGAGTCTGCTAAAAAAAAAAAAAAAGAAAAAGATACCACCGTCGCTTTCTCGCGCGACGTTTAATTCCGAACACGGAGGAATTGCTTAGGGCCAAATTTTGAATTGATTACTTGGAAAATTTCAGTAGGGATGAAATTATTTGGTCGAATTTGAATTGAATCACTGGTGCAAAGGGTGTAAAAGTTCCTCGGGTAGGAGGAAATACTGGAATGTTCAGTATTGGGAGTACAAAATGTAATTTGTTGAATAGTTGGCGAGGAAAGATTGTAAAGAAGTGGAGGAGTTTAAATATGAAGGAGGGAATGAAAAAGAAATTGAAAAACAGAGGTGGGGGGATTGGTAGAAAAGGAGGGTGAAGACAGAGGATTGAATTGTAGGAGGTAGATGTTAGAGTAGGTTATTTTAGAGGTCTAGAGTATGATAGAGCTTGAATATTATAGCAAGAGAGTAAGTAAATATTATAGCAATTAGAGCAG